ATCTTCATCTTGACTCTCGTGGCTTGTTCTCGGTCTTGCAGCTCTTCTGATGTCTGAGGTGGAGTCTCCATTGGCCTGGAGAGCCCAGTTGAGGTGGTTCAGTTCATCTTGAAGGAGGTGAACAGCACAACAACAGAGAGGAAAGATACAGGGACATCTAATGGCCTCTCAACAAAAGATTGCTCCAGGCACTGCCAGGCAATCAAATGCTAATCAAGGTGATCAGTTGAAACATTCACACCTAGCTCCAGCAGACAAGAGTCCTTTGTCCCACCCTGGTCATTCCACAGATATATAAACCCCTTTTTCCTAGTTCCAACAGACCTCACTACCTCTGAGGATGCTTTCCATAGATGCAGGCGAAACGTCAGGAGAAAATGCCTTTAGAACATTATTTATTATTATTATTATTAACTTTATTTGTACCCCGCTAGCATCTCCCGAAGGACTCGATGCGGCTTACAAAGGCCAAGGCCTCAATACACAACATAACAATACAAAACCTAAAGCAAATTAAAAACAATTAAAGCAATATTTAACAACAAAACAATAAACAATACACCAAAACACAATAAAAACATGGCCATATAGCCCAAAAAAAAAACCTACAACAACCCAGTGATTCCGGCCATGAAAGCCTTCGACAATACATTTTTACCTTTATTTATTTATTTATGATCGTATTGAAATTTGAAACCAGAAAACAGGACAATAAAATTATAACAGTATCAAGGAGAATAAAGACAAACACAAAATGAACCAGAGCGACATGAAGATAAGTATATATAATTTTGCATTAATTTCTTTATCAAAATGATAAAATTTAAAAATTGAGTGCGATAGATGATATAAAACACAGGGGATTGTGGCTGAGGGAGTGTGATTTCCAAGGAAACCCAATAGCTTTTTTTTAAAAAGGAAATCAATAGAAATATATTTTAAAATCAGATATACTTTTTAATATCTTGATGGATTGGCACAAGAGTCTTGTTTGCTGAAATCCAAAATGCCTGAATAACAAAAAGGAAGGGAATTTAATGGGCATTAATTTAATGTATTATTTCTATGTTTACTTATTTATACAATAAATTAATGTAATGGGGAAAGGCCAAGTGGGAAGAGAAATTTAATTGACATAAATTTAATGTGATGCAATCTTCCGACCTGGGAGTCCCAACTTCCGATGGTATACCAATATATCTCTGGTTGTACTGGCCACGCTGCCCAAATGCCCGATCACCGCCTCCCAAAGCAGTTACTATACTCCCAATTAATGAACAGGAAACATATCGTCAGTGGATAGGAAAAGAAATTTAAAGATGGGTTTAAAGCCAACCTTAAAAACTCTGGCATAGATTCCGAGAACTAGGAAACCCTGGCACTTGAGTGCTCTAACTGGAGGTCAGCTGTGATCAGCAGTGCTGCAGAATTCGAAGAGGCATAAGTGGAAGACAAGAGGGAGAAATGTGCCAAGAGGAAGGCGCGTCAAGCCAACCCTGACCGGGACTGCCTTCTACCTGGAAACCAATGTCCTCACTGCAGGAGAACATGCAGATCAACAATAGGGCTCCTACTCCAGTAGAGCATGCAGATCAACAATAGCCACCTACGGACCCGCCGCCAAGACACTGCACTTGGAGGACCATTATCCTTGGGCTATGAGGGATTGCCTAAGTAAGTAATGTCTGGCAAGGCTGAAGATACCATCCTAAAAATGGAACCTGGTCAACTGCATTATGGATAAAAGAAGAGAAGAATTTTATGAAGTGTGACAAGAAAAGTGCTGGTGAGAACTGAAAGCTTTTGGTGCAAACACATGTTTACATAATCAAAGACACAGTTTAAGTTAAATAACCTCTGTTCTAGAACTGATGAGATGATGGGTCCCTTATACTTTCGAGATTACTTTTAAGAAAGGTTTGGCTTTTTTTTTGTATTTAACTTTATTTTACCCTTGTGCTCCAAAGAGAGAAAAGATTTTTCAGAAAGCATATCATTTGGGAAAGGCTTGTCTTGTATTTTGTCATGGAGAAAGGTTTTCAGCCGCCAAGAGGGACCCAGAGAAGCACAGGTTTTTCATACAGGGCTCTAAGTTTCAGTAACCGATGCAATAAATCCCAACCTGAGGAAATATGGACATATACTGCCTACAGGAACCCCCGTGGCATAATGGGTTAAACTGCTGAGCTGCTGAACTTGTTGACTGAAAGGTTGCAGGTTTGAATCCGGGGAGTGGCGTGAGCTCCTGCTGTTAGCCCCAGCTTCTGTCAACCTAGTGGTTCGAAAACATGTGAGTATTATTTTTTTAATTATTATTAAACTTTATTTGTACCCCGCTAGCATCTCACGAAGGACTCGATGCGGCTTCCAAAGGCCAAGGCCTCAACACAATAACAACAGACAATAACAATGCAGCAAATTAAAAACATAAACAATAACACAACAGAACATTACACTATTGCACAATAAAATCAGGGCCGGGCCAATGATGGGTACAGATTAAAAAGTGCTGGGCGTGTGAGGTGGTATGTTGGAGTTCTGGGCAAGTGCAATGTGCAGAGAGTATTAAACCCTAATAAAGTGCTTCTGGGACAGAGTGTTGGAGATTATCCTATTCTGGAAAGGCACATCGGAATAACCAAGTCTTCAAGTTCTTCCTAAAGACTGCCAACGTGGGTGCTAGTCTAATGTCTTTGGGGAGGGTGTTCCAAAGTTGGGGGGGCAACCACAGAGAAGGCCCTGTCCCTTGTCCCCACCAAACGCGTGGGTTCGTAGACAGATGCGGTCACGCAGGTAGGCAGGTCCCAAACCGTTTAGGGCTTTGTAGGTAAGCACCTGCACCTTGAATTGGGCTCAGTAGGTAAATGGCAGCCAGTGGAGCTCCTTAAACAGGAGGGCTGACCTCTCTCTGTAAGGAGCACCAGTTAACATCTTGGCCGCCACCCGTTGAACCAGAGTAGATCAATAGGTATTGCACTGGCGGGAATGTAACAGCACTCCATGCAGTCATGGCAGCCACATGACCTTAGAGGTGTCTACAGACAATGTTGGCTCTTCGGCTTAGAAATGGAGATGAGCACCAACCCCCAGAGTCGGACGCGACTAGACTTAATGTCAGGGTAAAACTTTTACTAGGTGATAACCTGCACCTTCAATTGGGACTGGAAACTTATCGGCAGCCAGTGGAGCTGTGTTAATAGGGGGGTTGTCGCTCCCTATAATTAGATCCAGTTATCAACTTGGCCACTGACTTTTGTACCAATTGCAATTTTTGAGCCATCTTCAAAGGCAGCCCCACATAGAGAGTGTTACAGAAATCCAATCTAGAGGTAACTAAGGCATGGACCACCGTAGCCAAGTCAGACTTTTTGAGGTATAGTCACAGTTTTGTCAGGATTGAACTTCAGGTGGTTGTTTTTTTTTTTTTGGAAAAGAAACATCATTTTAGGGAGACCATTTTAGGAAGAAGGAAAAGAGGGAGGAAAGGAACGATCAGAGGGAGGGAAGAAGGGAGTGACAGGAAAAGGGAGGGAGAAGGGAAGGGAGAAGGGATGCAGAGGACAGGGGAGGAAGAGAAGCTGGAAGGAAGGGTGGGGGGGTAGTGAAGAAGAAGAAGTCTCTGTACATCTTAGAAAACTATTTCTTGATTTAAGAACTTCCTGACTGTGAGAGCCGTTCAGCAGTGGAACTCTCTGCCGGAGTGTGGTGGAGGCTCCTTCTTTGGAAGCTTTTAAGAAGAGGCTGGATGGCCATCTGTCAGGGGTGATTTGAATGCAATATTCCTGCTTCTTGGCAGGGGGTTGGACTGGATGGCCCATGAGGTCTCTTCCAACTCTTTGATTCTATGATTCTAAGTACATTGACGTGGTGGCTGATACCCAAACAAGGGATGAGCTGGAGATGTAACTGCCTTGGTCCTTTCACTATTGGCTGCTACTTCCCGGCGGATGTCAGGTGGTGCAATACCGGCTAGACAGTGTAATTTCTCCAGTGGTGTAGGGCGCAGACACCCCGTGATAATGCGGCATGTCTCATTAAGAGCCACATCCACTGTTTTAGTGTGGTGAGATGTGTTCCACACTGGGCATGCATACTCAGCAGCAGAGTAGCATAGCGCAAGGGCAGATGTCTTCACTGTATCTGGTTGTGATCCCCAGGTTGTGCCAGTCAGCTTTCGTATGATATTGTTTCTAGCACCCACTTTTTGCTTGATGTTCAGGCAGTGCTTCTTGTAGGTCAGAGCACGGTCCAGAGTGACTCCCAGGTATTTGGGTGCGTTGCAATGCTCCAGTGGGATTCCTTCCCAGGTGATCCTCAGAGCTCGGGATGCTTGTCTGTTCTTGTGATGAAAGGCACATGTCTGTGTTATGGATGGATTAGGGATCAGCTGGTTTTCCCTGTAATAGGCAGTAAGAGCACCTAGAGCTTCAGAGAGCTTCTGTTCTACCATCTCAAAGGCGACCTCTGGTGGCAGAGAGAGAGAAAAAAGACCCTTGGCCCCGCCCCCTCCGCAGCACGTCAGTGGGAGTGACGTCACCGCAGGACCGGAGACCTCTCCGCACCTTTGACTGACGGGTTGCAAGGAAGGCGGCCTCTAGCGGCAGAGAGAAAGAGAGAAGGAGGGAGAGGGTCGGTTGAGGCCCACCCAAGAAGCCCCGCCTCCTTCGCCCTCCCATTGGCCGAATCCGGGAAGCCCCACCCACCAAAAACCCCCTATTAGCTGCCTGTTGCTAGGCGTCTTTGATTCACTCGTCGCGAGGGAGTGAGGGAGAGAGGAGGGAGAGGCCCGCCCAACAAGAAACCCCGCCTCCTTCGCCCTTCCATTGGCCGACTCCGGAAATCCCCACCCATCGGAGGCCTCCCATTGGCTGCCGATTTGATTGGCGGGTAGAAAGGAAGGCGGCCTCTGAGGCGGAAAGAGCAGGACTCCTGGCCCCGCCCCCTCTTCAGAGGAAGTGACATCACCTCAGGCGTCTTTTCCAGTTTGCCCGGAAGAAGAGAACGAAGAAGGTTTCGTGAGAGGAGGAGGTGAGAGAAAGAAACACCCTCATTCCTACTAATAACAGTATTAGAAGTACATACGCACACACACAGATATATCTATGTAGGTATATATATATATATTATTTACGCCATTTATATGCCGCCCTTCTCACCCCGAAGGGAAGTCAGAGCGGTTTACAAAATATATATACATACAATACATTATATTACTAGCTGTCCCCTGCCACAGGTTGCTGTGGCCTAGTCTGGTGATCTGGGAAATTAAAGTAACGAGAAAGTGTTGGTTTCTAATATATGTAATGTCTTTATGCTTGTGGGTGAACAGAATTTCTTGCTTTTTCCTTGTCAGTGTTGATGTGATTATCTGGTTTGCCTACTATGGAACATGTAATTGTCCTTCTTGAGGGGTCCCTTTCAAATCTGTGATACTATTTCTCTCTGTGTGTGAATTATATATATCTATAGCTGGATGGCTCTTTGTCAGGAGGGCTTTGATTAGGTTTTCCTGCCCTGGTGAACCAGGTCTATCATTGTTTGAGTCCACAGTGCTCACTGGATGTAGGTGAACTACAACTCCAACAATCAAGGTCAATGCCCACCAAACCCTTCCAGTATTTTCTCTTGGTCATGGGAGTTCTGTGTGCCAAGTTTGGTTCAAATCCATTGTTGGTGGAGTTCAGAATGCTCATAGATTGTAGGTAAACTATAAATCCCAGCAATCCCCAGGATTGTGGCGCAGCTGGCTGAGTGTTAGCTGCATTAAGATCACTCATGAGTTCGAAGCCAGCCCGTGTTGGAGTGGGCTTCCAACCAATTGTGTAGCCTGTTGTCGACCTTTACAACCCGAAAGACAGTTGCATCTGTCAAGTAGGAAAATTAGGTACCAATTGTGTGGGGAGGCTAAATTAACTAGATTATGAGGCCATAAAAAAAGACTCCAGCAAAAGCATGCGGGGAATGCGGAAGTACTTCATCAGTGTCGCAGATGGACGATGAAAGCGACAGCTCCCCTGGCGGCCAGAAAAGTTAAATAGCCTCTGTGTATGTCTGTATACGTTGTATGTCAAATTGGCATGGAATGTTTGCCATATATGTGTACACTGTGGGGTGAGAAGGGCGGAATATAAATACTATAAATAAATAAATAAATAAACTACAACTCTCAAATGTCAAGGTCTATTTCCCCCAAACTCCATCTGTGTTCATATTTGGGCATATCGAATATTCGTGCCAAGTTTGGTCCAGATCCATCATTCTTTGAGTCCACATTGCTCTCTGGATGTAGGTGTACTACAACTCCCAAACTCAAGGTCAATGCCCACCAAACCCTTCTAGTCTTTTCTGTTGGTCATGGGAGTCCTGTGTTTCACCTTTGGTTCAGTTCCATCATTGGTGGAGTTCAGAATGCTATTTGATTGTAGCTGAACTATAAATCCCAGCAACTACAACTCCCAAATGACAAAATCCATTTTTTGGAGTGTAGGACATACATTGGGTTGTTAGGTGTCTTGTATCCAAATTTGGTGTCAATTCCCCCAGTGGTTTTTGAGTTCTGTTAATCCCACAAACGAACATTACATTTTTATTTATATAGATTTACGCCATTTATATGCAGCCCTTCTCACCCCGAAGGGGACTCAGAGCAGCTTACAAGATATATATACATACAATATATTATATTATTAGCATAGCACCATATCAGTATTATATATTACTATATTGTACTGTACCATAGTATTGTAATATTATTAGTAATATTACATGTCATAGAAAATATGTAATTATTATATTATTAGTAGTATTATATTGTATTACACTATATTATTATAAATAGTATATGTATATACATTATATTATATTATAAGCATAGCACAGGAGACAAGATGGAACTGTCCCCTGGCCCTCCCTCTCTTTACTCTGGCCCAGAGTGGCAGTTGGTGCTGGGGGGAGGGGTCCCCAATATGAATGTGTTTCTCTCTGTGTGTGTGTGTATACACACACACACATACAGAGAGAGGGAGAGAGGGAGAGAGAGAGATTGTAGTATCTCCCAACAGATATACTACCCTACTCATCCATCTCACTCAGGGTTTTTATAATTTTATCCCTTGCAATTGGCCCAGCCCATTGTGCTCAACTTTTTTGTTATTTTATTTCATACCCTGTGTTTATCTTGTTTTGTTTACATTTTATTTTATGTTACTATTTGTTGTATGTATTCTTTTTTCTTTGTTGTAATTGTTGGGCTTGGCCTCATGTTAGCCGCCCCGAGTCCCCTTATTAGTAGTAGTATTATAAAAGAAGTCTAGGCAGGGCACAAAACAATGAGGAAGAGAAGGAAAGGCCTGGCCATTGGGAAAAGTTCTTCAAAATGGGCGAGAAAAATATCTGAGCAATTAGGGTTAAGACAGAATAATAATAAAATAAGTTTAAAATAAAACTAGCCGTCCCCTGACACGCGTTGCTGTGGCCCAGTTTGTGTATATGTGTTTTGTGTATATATGTGTGTGTTTGCATGTATATATGTGTGGTTTTGCACATGCATTGTAATGTAATTTTTGTTTTTTGGCTTTTTAAGTCTCTTCTGCTGTGGTTTTCAGTGTTTTTATGAGTGATGGTCACTCGTTGACCTGATAGGTGTCTTGTGTCCTAATTTGGTCTTAATTCATCCAGTGGTTTTTGAGTTATGTTAATCCCACAAACGAACATTACATTTTTATTTATATAGATAGATAAGCATAAAATAAAATGATGTGGCTCCTGCAGCATGACTTGGGAGCCCCTCAATATATCAATTAGGCACAGATATCCAGATGTCAACATCCAAAGTAAATGGTGTAAAGTAGAAATAAAATTTCAAAAGACTTTAAATTTCTACTAATACGTTCAATTTGGTTATAGTTGCCTAATAATAATAATAATGTCTATAAAGAAATACTAATTTGAATTTTACCATTCAAACATAAGTATATATATATTTGTCATAAAGAATCTATATAGACATCTCTATTTCTAGACTGTGTAAGTCAAAATATTAGATAACCTCTCAGAGACCCAACCGGGTAGTCACTCGTCTATATAATAAACACATAAAATACATAGATATCAAAAGAAAAAAAAATGTCCATAATGGTATAAACATAACTGCCCTTGTTTCCGGAAGTCCTTCTTCAGGTTGTGTTCCTTTATAGTTTTGCTCTTCTTTTGACAGTTATCTATTATTCTTCTTGTTCATCAACTGTAGTATGTTGTTTCAAACATAATGCTCTTAGCCTTAATTGCACTTATTTGGCTCTGCTTCAATTCAATGTATGATAGTGCTATTCGTATTCTAAACATAAACATAAGCACAACTGTAATCAGCTCGCTAAAATAAATATGTATGAACCCCATATCTATATATATAAAAATGCTGTGCATAATGAGTACCTTAAAAACAAAAGAACCAATGAACGAAATCACACCAAATTTGGCAACAAAATGTCTCACAACACAAGGAGTGACCATCACTAATATATATATGCTTTTGTCATTTGGGAGTTGTAGTTGCTGGGATTTATAGTTCACCTACAATCAAAGACTATTCTGAACTCCAGCAACAATGGAATTGAACCAAACTTGGCACACAGAACTCCCCGGACCAACAGAAAATATTGGAAGGGTTTGGTGGGCATTGACCTTGAGTTTGGGAGTTGTAGTTCACCTACATCTAGAGATCACTGTGGACTCAAACAATGATGATATATTATATATGATTCACACACACGCAGATGGAGCCATCCAGCCATAGAGATAGATAGATAGATAGATAGATAGATAGATAGATAGATAGATAGGGAGTTGTAGTTGCTGGGATTTATAGTTCACCTACAATCAAATAGCATGATAGAATTGAATGAACCGAGGCATACAGGACTCCCATGACCAACAGAAAACACTAGAAGGGGTTGGTGAGCATTGACCTTGTGTTTGGGAGTTGTAGTTCACCTACATCCAGAGAGCACTGTGGACTCAAACAATGATGGATCTGGACCAAACTTGGCACGAGCACTCAATACACCCAAATATGAACACAGATGGAGTTTGGAGGAAATAGACCTTGACATTTGGGAGTAGTAGTTACAGGGATTTATAGTTCACCTACAATCAAAGAGCATTCTGAACTCCACCAATGACAGAATTGGGTAAACTTCCCACACAGAACCCCCATGACCAACAGAAAATACTTAAGGCCATCCAGTCCAACTCCCTTCACCAGGGCAAGAAAACATAATCAAAGCCCTCCTGACAAAGAGCCATCAGGCATAGATATATATAGATAGATATGAATCACACACACACACAGATATCGTATCATAGATTTGAAAGGGACTCCTGAAGAAGGACAATTATATGTTGAATGTTCCAGGGTGGGCAAATCAGACACTCTCCACATCAACACTGACAAAGGAACATCAAGAAATACTGTTTACCCACAAGCATAAAGAAATTACATATATTAGAAACCAATACTTTCTCATTACTTTATTTTCCAGATCAAACGACTGGGCCACAGCAATGCGTGGCAGGGGACAGCTAGTGTTATACAAACCCTTAGTCTAGTACAAAGACTTACATGTTGTTGAATATACATAGCTCTGTTTGTCCACTCAAGTTGCAAGCACGATAGGATTTACACCTTGTCTTAAAATACTCTGCTCATCTATAGATAACAGTTGAAGCCCCTCAATATATTCAATATAATACCATATAGAAATAATAACATTGTCATGTAATCGTGCTGGTATAGTGTATGTCATATTAATAATGTTGTAATAGAATATATTGTATATACTACAACTATTTTATTTATTTCATATACTTGTACCCCACCCCTCTCACCCCCGAGGGGGGACTCAGGTCCCCTCACAGCATGATATGAAATGGTGCAACATATTATAGAATACTAATAGTATAATGTACTGGTAGTGTGTTATGTATATCATGGCATAATAATACAGTACAATATCATAATATATAACAAGATAATTGTATATTGTATAATACATATAATGTTACCAGGAGCCCCCAGTGGCACATTGGATTAAACTCTTGTGCTGGCAGGACTGAAGACCAACAGGTTGGAGGTTCAAATCTAGAGAGAATGTGGATGAGCTCCCTCTGTCAGCTCCAGGTCCCCATGCGGGGACATGAGAGAAGCCTCCCACAAGGATGGGAAAACATCCCCTAGGCAGTGTCCTTGCAGACAGCCAATTCTCTCACACCAGAAGCAACTTGCAGTTTCTCAAGTCGCTCCTGACAGACACACACAAAAAACAGTAATTTTGCAGTATAATGTGTTATTATTTTTTATATAGATATAGATTTGTTTTTTGGGATTTGGGAGGTTGGTTATTTTTGTCTTTGTTCAGCTTCTCACAGCATTGAATGTTTGCTGATACCTATATAGAATCATAGAATCCTAGAGTTGGAAGAGACCTCGTGGGCCACCCAGCCTCTGTTATTTATTTATTTATCGTGTCATCCGCAACCAGAACATTGTATTACATTTCTAACAGAACAAAACAAACAAACAGATAAAAAAAAACCCACAAATTTTGCAAACTTGTTAGCTGATTAAATGTCCTTTGACCAGTATCTGGCCACTTGGAGTGCCTCTGGTGATCCCGCAAGAAGGTCCTCCATCGTGCATGTGTCAGGGCTCAGGTTGCATTGCAGCAGGTGGTCAGTGGTTTGCTCTTCTCCACACTCGCATGTCGTGGATTCAACTTTGTAGCCCCATTTCTTAAGATTGGCTCTGCATCTCGTGGTGCCAGAGCGCAGTCTGTTCAGCGCCTTCCAAGTCGCCCAGTCTTCTGTGTGCCCAGGGGGGAGTCTCTCATCTGGTATCACCCACGGATTGAGGTGCTGGGTTTGAGCCTGCCACTTTTGAACTCTCGCTTGCTGAGGTGTTCCAGCGAGTGTCTCTGTAGATCTAAGAAAACTATTTCTTGATTTAAGTCGTTGACATGCTGGCTGATACCCAAACAAGGGATGAGCTGGAGATGTCTCTGCCTTGGTCCTTTCACTATTGGCTGCAACTTCTGGCGGATGTCAGGTGATGCAATACCGGCTAAGCACTGTAATTTCTCCAGTGTTGTAGGGCGCAGACACCCTGTGATAATGCGGCATGTCTCATTAAGAGCCACATCCACTTTTAGCGTGGTGAGATGTGTTCCACACTGGGCATGCGTACTCAGCAGCAGAGTAGCATAGCGCAAGGGCAGATGTCTTCACTGTGTCTGGTTGTGATCCCCAGGTTGTGCCAGTCAGCTTTCATATGATATTGTTTCTAGCACCCACTTTTTGCTTGATATTCAGGCAGTGCTTCTTGTAGGTCAGAGAACGGTCCAGAGTGACTCCCAGCCTCTGTTGAAAAGCCTCCAAAGAAGGGGCCTCCATTACACTCCAGGGCACACAGAGAGAGAGAGAGTTCTACTGTTGAACAGCTCTTCTTACAGTGAGGGAGTTTTTCCTCATGTTCAGGTGGAATCTCCTTTCTTTCCTGTAGTTTGTTCCATTGCATCCTAGTTTCCAGGGCAGCAGAAAGAAGCCTGCTCCCTCCTCCCTATGACTTCCCCTCACTTATTGATCCATGGCCATCATATCTCCCAGAGGGGACTCGGAGTGGCTTACAGCAATGTGAAGAATACAAACAAGAAACAATAATAAAATAAATTAAGTTTGTCCATTACATTTGGCCCGGCCTTAGGTTTTAAATGCGTCATGGTGTTATTGTTTTAAGTGTTTTATTGTTTTGCTTGATGTCTTATTATTTGCTTTATGAGTTTTATTGCTGTATTTGTATGCTGTTGTTTTGTTGATGGCCTTGGCCTTTGTAAGCCGCATCGAGTCCTTCGGGAGATGTTAGCGGGGTATAAATGAAGACAATAATAATAATAATAATAATAATAATAATAATAATAATAAATAACCCATTTAAATTAAATCAACAAAAGTAACAAAACAAAATTGGCACAAAGTGAACCAAAACATATTAAATGAACACAACGATAATCTACAATGTTGCTTCGTCACTGCAGGCCCGAGATGACTTTTGAGGGCAGTGTCTCCTGATCTGGCACAAGATCTCAACAAGACCCTGAAATGACCATCCTTGTGCAAAGGGTTTTTTTACAGGTAATAGGTCCAGAATCATTGCTTGCCCTTTGTTCTTGTTGGCGACAAAGGACAGTCACAAGCTAATTTGTCATTAATAACTATGTTCCAAATTTCCCTGTATCATTTTTTCTAATTGAATTTCCTTTCTTTTCTTTCCAAATTTTGCTACTAACAATTTTGCTGCTGTTAGCAAATAAATTCCTTCTCTTCTGAAGGAATTGTATTGTCATGTATGAGTAATAATGCTGATTTTGGTGTACTCTATCTCTATTTTTATTATTGCTCTTATTTCATTAAATCCTTTTTCCCAACATTTTTGTATAATGACCACCACATATGAGGATATGAGCCTTTTTCCTGACAGCCTCTCCAGCACTGATGTGCATTTTTATTTATTTATCTGATTTAATCTATCCAGGGTTAGGTACTATCTCCATACCGTTTTGTAATAGTTTTCCTTAATTCTTATGGACATATTTTTTAGTAATCTCATACTCCATATCCTTGCCCATTCTTGATTATTCCCTTTTTTTCTTAAATCTACTTCCCATACTTCCCTCAAGTGATCTTGTTCCTGTTCGTCCATTAATAATAGTTTATAGATATTGCTTACTGTGCCTTTTAATATTACATTAAAAGGCGTTCATGTTTCTGTATTCTTAAGATAAAATGATCCCATTACAACTGCTCTATTCCTATGCTGCGATATGTTCTATCCCCCTTTTTGACCAGTCTATTATCCTACTTGTTTGTACACCAGCCCCCCCCCCCCTTTCAAATGAGACTAGAAGTATTTCTGGTTGTTGCTTATGATGTCTGTTTTATTATTGCTTATGATGTTGGTTGTACACTGTTTTAATTTTTATTTGCCTTGTTTTAATTGTATGTTTTTGGGATTGGCCCCATGTTAGCTGCCCTGAATCACTTTGGGGAGATGGAGGCAGGGTAGAAGAATAAACTACTACTTCTTCTCCATTGACCATTATTGAGACTGGGTGGCCATCTGTCAGTATTATTATCATTGAGGCTGGTGTTTGGATTGTGCCTTTCCAGCATGGCAGAAAGGGATTGGACTCGATGGCCCATGGGGTCTCTTTCTTTTTATTATTATTATTATTATTATTATTATTATTATTATTATTATTATTATATCATCCATTCTTTTCACCCTCCCTCTCTTTCTTTCTTTTTTCTTCTTCTTTCCTTCTGAATTCATCCCTTATTGCTTATAAATCTGTGATCACCATTGCTGGTTTCTGTGTATGTCCTTGAGACCCTTCATATTGCATTTCTTGGTATTTCCATTTTCAACATGAGCCATGAAGGGGAAAGAGGATAATCTTGGAAATGAAGGAAGATTATTGTATCATGTTTAATCTATTCCTTCCTCTTTCTTGACCAGGAAAATGAGGATCCTATGAAGTCATCTCTGGCATGATAAGGAAGAATCGGTATCTAGTGAATATTTACTAATTTGGAAACAAAAGTGCAATAATAAAAGATATCCTATAGGAAGAAGAAACTCTCTTTAGGTGCCAATCTTGTTGAACTCACTTTTGATCAGAAAGAAAAAGGGAAGACTCAAGTGTCCATATTGCAATTAATTATATACATAACTGTCAACATGGAGGAGAAACCCTATACATGTGCTGTGTGTGGACAGAGCTTCACTCAGAGTGGACATCTACGTTCACATCAAAGGACCCACACTGGAGAGAAACCCTATACATGTCTTGTGTGTGGACAGAGCTTCACTCAGAGTGGACATCTACGTTCACATCAAAGGACTCACACTGGGGAGAAACCTTATAAATGCCTGGAGTGTGGAATGAGTTTCACTGAGAGTGGAAGTCTGCATAGACATCAAATGACTCACACTGGAGAGAAACCCTATAAATGCTTGGAGTGTGGACAGAGCTTTGCTCGGAGTGGAAGTTTACGTTCACATCAAGGGACTCATACTGGGGAGAAACCCTATACATGTCTGGAGTGTGGACAGAGCTTCACTGAGAGTAGAAATCTACGTAGACACCAAAGGATTCACGCTGGAGATAAACCCTATAAGTGTCTGCAGTGCGGAATAAGCTGCACTACGAGTTCAAATCTATGTAGACATCAAAGGACTCACACTGGAGAGAAACCCTATACGTGTCTGGAGTGTGGACAGAGCTTCAGTCATAGTGGAAATCTACGGTCACATCGAAGGACTCACACTGGGGAAAAGCCCTATCAATGCTTGGAGTGCGGAATGAGCTTCGCTGACAGTGGAGGTCTACGTTCACATCAAAGGACTCACACTGGGGAAAAACCCTTTGAATGCCTGGAGTGTGGAAAGAATTTTACTTATCGTGCAAGTCTACGTTCACATCAAAGGACTCACACTGGGGAGAAGCCCTATGAATGCCTGGAATGTGGAAAGAGGTTCACTTATAGTACAAGTCTACGTACACATCAAAGGACTCATACTGGGGAGAAGCCTTATAAATACCTGGAGTGTGAGCCGAGCTTCACTCAGAGTGAAAATCTGTATTCACAAGAAGACTCACTCTGAGGAGTAACCCAAAAAAGGCCTGGAGTGTAGAAAGAATTTCCCTTATAGTTCAAGTCTACATAGACATCAAAGGACTCACACTGGGGAGAAACCCCAAAAATGCCTGGAGTGCAGACAGAGATTCACTCAGGGTGGAAGTTTACGTTCACATCACATGATATGCACTGGGGAGAAACCCTATATATGCCCGGAAAGAAATTGTTAAGGTTACATTTACAATGACACCAGAATTTTATGTCTTAAGAATACTGGATGATCATCTAGAAAGAAAATTGGAAAGATTACTAAAATATATGATAAATGCAGCAAGATTCCTATATCCTAAGGGATGGAAGGAAGAAGTTATCCCTACTCAAGTTAATTGACTGCTGAAGGATCTGCAAACTAGCAGAGATGGAGAAACTGACATTGAGGAGAAAAATTTGATCACTTTCAAGAAACATTGGAACTGTAAAATCACTTTTTCATGACAACAATAGGGGCATATGCCAAGTGTGATGTTGGTCATTCATTCAGTCGCTTCCGACTCTTCGTGACCTCATGAACCAGCCCACGCCAGAGCTCCCTGTCGGCCGTCACCACCCTCAGCTCCTTCAAGGTCAAGCCAGCCACTTCCAAGTGTAAGATTTATTAATTAGAATGGACAGAAATGTGCTTATATAGGATTGTCTAAATCAGTGGTTCCCAACCTGTAGTCCACGAGAACTAAAATATGGTCTGTGAAGAAAAGACCTTGTAAAATACAATTCCCAGGATGCCATCACACTGAGTCAGGGCAGTTCAATTTCATAATGTCGATGCAACCTGTATTTTCAAAACAAAAAGTATCCAGGTTTACCATGGCTGACTTGTAGAGCGAAGCTGCACCAGGAAAGGCAGGAAGGGGAAAGAACAGGAAGGAGTAGCAGAGAAAAAAAGGAGGAAGAGGAGGAGTTCTTTTGTGCGGAGCCTGCCTCTTCCTTCCTGAACTCAAGGCACACCTCCGCAAAATGCCGGAGATGGAAAAGGCCGGCTCCAAGGGAGCCCCAGGAATCTGGGTGAGGCGCAGCCCACTTCCTTCCCTCTGTCCTTCTTACCTTCTTTCCTTCCTACCCTCCCTCCTTATTTTCTTACTGCCCTCCCCTCCTTCCTTCCCTCTCTTCCTCCAGCCCTTCTTGCTTGCTTCCTTCTCTCCCTTCTTCCTTCCTTCCTTGTCCCCATCCTCCCTCTTAATTCCCTCCCCTTCCTCATTGCTTCCCTCCTTCCACCTTCTTTTCTTACATCCTTGCTCCTTTCCCTCCTCCTTCCCTCCCTCTTTCTATCCCTTCTTCCATCCCTTGATACCATCTCTTCCTCCCACTTTCTTCATTCCTTCCTTGCTCCCTCTGTGTTTCCCTTCCTGCTTCCCTCCTTCCTTTGTGCCTTTCCTTCTTCCCTCTCTCTCCCTCCCTCAGTCCCATCCCTTCCTCCCTCCCCCTTCCTTCCCTCCCTCCTTGCTTTCCGCCTACCTTCTTTTCTTCCTCCTCTCTCTTACTCACTTCCTTCCTTCTTTCTTTCTTTTCTTCCTTCCCTTCCTCTCTCTTCACTCCCTCTTCCCTTTCTTCCTCCTCTTCCCTCTTTCCTTCCTCTCTCCACTTCCTTCCTCCCTCAATCCCCCTCCCTCCCTTCTTGCTTCCCTCCCTTCTTTTCTTCCTTCTCTCCCTCTCTCATTCCTTCATTGCTCCCTTTTTTCTTCCCTCCCTCCTCCCTCCCTCAGTCCCATCCCTTCCTTACTTTCTTCCTTGCCTCCCTCCTTTTTCCCTCCCTTTTCGTCCACCTCCCTCCTTCCTTGCTCCCTTTCTTCTTTCCTTCCTTCTTCTATCTCTCTCCCCCTTTCTCCCTCAGTCCCTTTCCTTCCTCCCTTTCTTCCTTGCCTCCCTCATTTACCTCCTTCCTCCTTTTTTCCCTCCTTCCTCTCTTGCTTCTTTCCTTCCTTCCCTTCCTTTCTTTCCCTTCCTTACTCCCTCAGTCCCATCTCTACCTTCCTTCCTTGCTTCCCTCCTTTTCTTCCTTCTCTCCCTCCTTCCTCCCTTGCTCCCTTCTTTCCTTCCCTTCCCCTCTCTGCCTTCCCTCCTCCCTCCCTTAATCACATCCCTTCCTCCCTTTCTTCCTTGTCTCCCTCCTTCTTCCTTTCCTTTCTTCTCTCCCTCCTTCCTCACTTGCTTCTTTCCTTCCGTCTCTTCCTCGCTCCCTCCCTCTCTCTCTCTCTCTCCCTTCCTCCCTCCCTCAGTCCCATCCCCTCGTCCCTTGCTTCCTTGTCCCCCTCTTGCCTTCCATGGTCCCTTCCTTCTTTCTGTCCTTTTCTTACTCTCTCTCTCCCTTCCTTCCTCCCTGTCATCCTTTCCTCCCTGCTTGCTTCCCTCCTCCCTCCTTTCTTCCCCCTCTCAATCCAGTCCTCCATCCCTTTTTGCTTCTCTCCTCTCTTCCTTGATTCTTTCTTCCTTCCCTCCCTCCCCCTTCCTTTCCCTCTTCTTCCTGCTTCCTTGAACAATAATATTAGCCCCAGGATTACCCAACTTGTAAACAAGATGCAAGCTCAAAAATCATATTGATGCAAACAAAATATAATTTTCTGTTTAAAATGCTCTTTTTATATTATAATAGTCCTCTTGATTCATGTTACTATTAAATTTAATGAATATGTTAAAAGTTTTAATTAAAGTTTATTTTTCGATTAACACAGTTTATTATTCTTGAACTTTGTGGTCCCTGCTAACAAAAAAAAAAATCAAAGTGGTCCCTGATTGAAAAAAGGTTAGGAACTACTGGTCTAAATGGAGTAGAATAATAACATATAAAAACCAATGGACACAGATTGTAAGGTTTGCAGAATTAGACCCAGGTCTGTTTGTTTGTTAGTGTAGTTGGGGTGTATGTGTGTCTTATGTAGGTGTGTGTTTTATGGGTGTATTTATTTTTAATTTAGTTTTATACTTTTAGTAGCTAGTTAGTTAGCTGCATAGTTTTAGCATTATAAAAATTCTTCTTTTTATGATATTATTGCTTTTTACTTAAAAATAAATTAAATAGTTTCTTTAAAGATGGCAAGTTTAGAAAGATTAGAGCCTGGAGTGGCTGATAGACCAATATGGGGTTTATGACCTAATTTATTTTGTCTTTAAGGTTGGCCGCATAGCTATGGTGTTGTTATCCTTCAATTATTATTATTACTCTTTTGTTTAGTGCAACATATATACACTGTTTTAATCATCATCTGTTGTTTTCAACCAACTTATCTGTTATTTCAGTAAATCTTCAATTGACCCTCTTTTGGATATGTCTTTGGTTTTCATTTCTCCTCATCTTGATCCAGCTTTTTACATTTTGTGATTTTCATTTTCATAGATTTGCTAAATCGGAATTGTTTTAGAGCTTTGCAGTTTTATGCAAAATAGATGTAGTCTCCTGGTCAGTCGTAGGGCCAAACAGGGTATAGGATTACAGCCTGTGTTGGACAAGGTTACACTCCCCCTGAAGACTTAGGTTCACAGCTTGGGAGTGATCCTGTACTCAATGTTGAGCCTGGAACCCTAGGTCTTGCTGGTGACCACAGGAGCATTTGCACAATTAAAAATTGTGTGCCAGCTGGACTTGTACCTTGGAAAGTCAGGCTTGCCCATGGTAGTCCATGCTCTGGTTACATCCTGAATAGACTATTCCAGCACACTCTACATGGGGTTGCCTTAAAAGACTGTTCAGAAGCTTCAAACAGCAGCCAGGTTGATCACCAGAGCGGCATACAGGGAGCATGCAACCCCCCCTGTTGCGTCAGCTCCACTGGCTGCCAGCTTGCTACCAAACACAATTCAAAATGCTGGTTTCAGCCTATAAAGCATTTCTCAACCTGGGGGTTGGGACCCCTGGGGAGGTTGTGAGAGGGTTTCAGAGGGGTCGCCAAAGACCTTCAGAAAACACAATATTTTCTGTTGGTCATGGGGGTTATGTGTGGAAGGTTTGGTGCAATGCTATATTTAGTAGGGTTCAGAATGCTCTTTGATTGATTGAAGAACTCCCAAATAGTGACAAGGTGGACCAGGATGACCCAAACGAAGAATCCAACAATGACAGTATCTATATTTTTGAATAATGTTAATGGATTAAATATACCAAATAAAAGGAAAATAATATATAACCAATTAAAGGGAAACTATGATTTAATCGCGCTACAGGATATGCACATATCACAAAAACAGGTCTTATCTAGTATAGAAACAATTGGGTAATGAATTTTACTCTTCAGCACTACAAAAAAAGGGGTAGTGATAGATACAAAGGAAAAAATGAATGCTGTTCTAGCATTTAAGGATCGGGATGGGAGAATGGTAGGGATCAAAGCAAAAATTAACAATCAGGTGACCCTAATTTGTAATATATATGCTCTGACAGGAGCCAAATCACAATTTATAGAATAATAAAAGAGGTAAATTCAAGAGGAGGAATATGAAAATTTGATAATTCTAGGAGATTTCAATGGAGTACTAGACTATGATCTGGATAAACGAAGAGAAGCAAAAAAAAAAGGAGGATCCTAAAGGCAGGAAACTACCACTAAACTTCCTACAATTAAACAAGAATTTTATTTCCAAGATATGTGGAGATTGAGTAACCCTACGATGAAATATTATACCTTTTACACTGACCGGCATAAAACATGGTCCCAAACTGACATGATCTGGGCCATGAACTCTTTAACAACTAAAATAAATAAAATCAAAATCATGCCTAGAGTTAACACAGACCACTGTCCAATAAAAGTGATCCTAGAAGACAGACAAAAAACCAGGAGGTGGAGATTAAATTAGAATCTTTTGAAAATGGAGAGTGAGATAGAAAATAATCAATCTGAACAACAATAAAGAAACAAAAATTGAAATAATTTGGGATGCCAGCAAGGCAGTTATGAGAGTATATTTTATCCAGCAAGGATCACTTAGGAACAGGAAGAGAAATGAAGATCCGCTCAAAGTACAAAAAAAAAAAAAAAAAAACCTAGAAGGAAGCACTACTAAAAGCAAGACCAGGGAACAAAAAATACAACTAGAGATAGAATTCATCAGGAAACAGATAAACTCAGCCCACCTAGAGCAAATGGCAAAGAACCTAAAATACTTAAAAGGTAATTATTTTGCGAATGCTAACAGGCCAGGAAAATTGCTGGCTAAAACATTAATTAAACAAAGACAACAACATATTACTCAGAATACCAAGTAAGGGAAATTTTTTACACAGATGAGGAGATAGCAAAACAATTTAGGGAATTCTTCAAAGAACTTTAAAAAGTGACCAAATAAAAAAGAATGATGTGGTAGCATATGTGGTGGAACAGAAATTAGGGAAAATAACAGAGGACCAGAGGGAATTGCTCAATAAACCAGTCACGGAAGAAGAAATT